AAATTAATAAATGGTGGTCAACCGTTTAATTGCAGTTAACCGGTTAACCACGGTTAAACAGTTAACGGTGCCAACTCTAGTAAAGATTTAATCCTATGTTATAAACATGTTACTAATTTTTTTAGCAAAGTTGCTTTTGCATTAATTAATTCTAAAATTCACTCAACTACAGGGAATTATCACACATTATATGGGGCATACTGCAACAAAACCAGACAAAGTGAACATTTGTATTGTGAGATTGTAAATGTGGACTGAAGAAGACCCGAGCATGACGATCAATCGAAACCAACTTACAGTGGAAGTTACGTGATGATTACATCATTTCTATTTTTATTTTTCGAATTATACTTTGTGTAATGACTGCGCCACACATTGCGCAGTATCACACGAACAAATATTTCATATTCATATTACTATATTTATATTTCAAGGGCTTATTCAGCTGATGCAAATATTTACTTTAGATTATTAATTAACATTTGTAATGCTCAGTTGACCCAAATATTTATTTAACATTAATAAGCATATTTTATTGGATAAAATAGAGTAAAAATCATGTTATCTGTAATACCTTAAGAGGTATAAAAAGACTTGGTTTTAGACCAAGTCAGAATCATCATGTTCATAATATTCTTATAATTATTGATCTAATAATTAATACTTTCCTAACACATTTGTAATAATATTATTATTATCACTAATAAAATACATAACATATTTTACCTTAAAATATTAATCTTTAATTAAATAATAAACCTGTCAAAGGGAGACCTTTGCTACCTCTAGCAAGTAACCACTATTTAATCATTAACCTACATCTCAAGGGGACGCCTTTGGGATATAATTATCTATATAGAACCTAGGGACCCTTTTATCCAGGCGGATAAAAGTTATATTTTTATTAATTTTGACTGTAAGTCAGCGGGTAGGCTGTGTGTCATACTTATATAATTATTGGAAACTTGACCGTAAGTCAGTGGGTAGGCTGTGTGTTGAGCTATAAATAACCTATTAACTAGGAAACTCGGATTGCATGCTCGCAGTATTACCAAGAATTTCAGGGATCAATATGTTTGTCTAACATCACAATTATATTATCATGTAATGTGATCATGATATTTGTCTAGACAAAAATAGTTAATATGAAACTCATTTACATAAGGTCTACTATGGAACCCAAGAATAACAGCACCATTAGAAGTATTTTGAAGAAAGAACAAGGTGAAAAAAATTGCTCCTTACATTTTCAAAATAAATGATACTCAGACACTTGAATTTTAACTAAGAAAAGAAAGGATTACTTATGAAATTTACCAAGAAGAAAGAAAAATAATAAATGTTGGAAAAAGAAAACATTATGATGATGCATTATTACCCAACAAAATGCAAAAATCTTTAAAAGGAAAATAATTTTATAGTTAAAATGAATTTCAATTTATACACAGGGAAATTTCCTTAATTACTTTTTTATTTTCAATCAGGATCATCTTTTGGTCTCTTTGACTTCAATTTGAGCTGTTAATTGACCATTCTGTTGATCTTTTAATGACTTGTTTTCCTCTTCTAGTTGCCTAATTTTTTCTTCTAAACTCTTTATCTTATCCAATAACTCTTGTTTCTGTTTTTTACTTCACTCTTCAGATATTTCTTGAAATTTGGCTACCTCCTCTCTTTCAACTTCTAGGGGCTTCCTCTGCAATGGCTAATTCTTCTCTTAAAGAATTTATTTGCCTTTCATAAAAAGCGGACATACTCTCTCTTTCCTGAGGCAATTTAGGAAGTTCTTTTTCATTTCCTTCTTCTTTACAATCACAAGTGTATCTAGTCTTTAATCTTCCACAACTGCATTTAGGCAACTCATCATTTTCAAACTTTTCTTTACAACTCTCACAAACCTTATCACTTTCAATCATTTCACCAGTCACTTTGCTTCGTGTTCTGATTGGACACACTACATTTTTTAAACCAAAGCAAAAAACACAAGTAGAATTACTGTTATGTCATTCTTCTAACTCCAAAATAGTGTAAAGTAATTCTCTCATAGTAGTAAAGTAACTAATTAACTTTTACTTCTATTTGAGCAGTAAATTCTTGGGCTTGATGTTTTTTATTTTCTACCAATTGTTGAAGTTTTTGGAACTTGGTTTTAATTCTTGAACCTAATTTTTGGAAAGTATTTTGTTTTTTAGGTAGAGCAGGCAAGGCTTTTCTTTCCAAATATATAACTGTCTATTTAGTTCCTCTTCTCTTTCCTCACTTTTTGCTAACATTTTTGATTTCTCTTCCAACTCCTCTTGTAATTTTGTATTTTTTGCTATTTCTTCTTCAAGCATTTTATCAGCTTTTTGTAGCATTAATGATTGTGCTTTGATTTCATCATTCAAAAGCCCTTTTTGTCAGTTTTTTCATTCTTCAGCTGTATTAATTGCTTTGGCTAGGTCTTTAGAAGTTTGATATAGTTTTTCAATAACTGTAAAAATAACTTTATTTAAATCTTCCCCTATTTAATTCTTTTAATTCTCCTAAGTCTCAGTTATGAATTTGCTCGCTTCAAGAAATATCATCAATCTCTTCTTGTTCCTTATGTCAAACTGACAAAGTTTCTGCAAGTTTTGTTTCTAGTTCTTCAAATTGCTCTCTATAAGGAGTTAATTCTACAACCTTTGGTTCTAATAGTTCTAACTCAGCATTTCTTTCTTTAAGTTCTTTATTCTTTTTAGAAACAAATTTATAAGAATCACAATTAAGCAATGTTCATTCAACACAACCTTTAACTAAATTTTCCGGGGTTAACTCATCTTTGGGTAAAAACTGTTGTTCCAAGGTCATTAAAGTGCCAATAATTTCATACTCCTTAATATTTTCAACTGCATTATAAATTCCTAGTTTGAAGTCTTGTTCTTTTTTTTCTTTATCAGCTAATTGCTGTTTTAATGTTTCAATTTTGTTTAATAGTTCTTTATTCCTCTCTTGTTGTTCTTTTATAATGCTTGTCATGGTTTTACTTTTATTCTTCTAATATACTTATATACTTTTTATGAGGATATATTAAGTATAAATTATTTTAATACTTTTTTACTTTAAAGGTGGAAAAAGCTAACAAAAAATCAAACTTATTAAACTTAATGACAGTAAAGGACAAATTAACTAGTGATAAAGTCATGGAGATGATTTTATTCTAAATATTTTATTTGTTGTCAGTATAGAATGGTCTTGGACAAGTAATATCATTGTATTCATCTTTCACAAATGGGTGAATATTCTGGTAAAGACATCAGGAAATTTTTTCTGACGCAAATTTGCGTAATATTATGGGGCCTGCCATAAACTTACGTACACTCACTGGTCATAAGTATAAGGACACTTGCAGATCATTGGAAATAATTGAATAAAGAAACATGAAAAAAAATAAAAATTTTATTAACCTAACCGCATTTGCTTATTAAGTAAAAA